AAGTCATTTGACCATGAGAAAATGAAAATACTGTTGTGGTGTCATTACCATCACAGCTCAATCAGCTGAGAACTCCTAGCCACATTCCTGTTTACTCTCGGCCCCCTGTCTTGGACTCAGGCCAATCACATATCCAGAACTCTTGTTGAAATCCCATTTGACAACTCGAGAAGACTAGCAGAACAGAGCGGCTGTTCCTACCAAGATTTCCTCCATTTAATCATGTTCTTTGGACATTTGTGGGGTTTGGGAATGCTGGTGATGGTGGTTGTGTGCTAAGTGGGTGAGGAAAATGTGTGCTATCTTGCCTACACTGTGATGCTTACAGGAAGGAGCAGCCTTCCCATCTGAGGCTATGAACTCTGTTTCTTTTTTTTTTTTTTTTTTTGGTCCAGTCGTGGGGCCTGAACTCTGGACCTGAGCACTGTCCCTCAGCTCTTCAGCTCAAGGCTAGCGCTCTAACACTTGAGCCACAGCACCACTTCCGGCTTTTTTCTTTTTGCTTATGTGGTGCTGAGGAATCGAACCCAGGGCCTCAGGCATGCAAGGCAAGCGCTCTACCACTGAGCCACCTTCTCAGCCCCTGAACTCTGTTCCTTTAGAGTTTATGCAGAATTTAATAATGTAGCTCTCCTGACACAGTTGTATTACTTGTTTCCTACTATGGATCAGAGATGGCTGCCAGGGTCCCACGCCCCATTTTACAGTGGAGGAAATATGGGGAGCGAGGCATAGAACTATGCCCAACACTGCACGGCAAAGCAGGGGTAGAGCTGGAATCTTGGCTCACTGTTTTCTCTCTAAGAGAATTATGACAGTTACATCAAAAAACAGAATAATCATAAATAGCAAACATTTGGAGAATCTATTATGCAGCCTCAAAATTTCTATGAAAAGCAAATATTTCCAGATAGAACAAAAATCCCTTCTGTACCCTAAGCTCCAACCCAACACTTCCTTTTCTGAAAAACAAAACAAAACAAACAAACAAAAAAACCCCAAAACTCATGTTTGCCAAACTCATATTTGGCATTATGATACATAATTTTACACTAGAGTTATAAAATATATACAACCTATATACTTAGCTATGTTATTTCTGGAATCACTTAACAATTCTATAAATCTCATTTGTCTCCAAGTTTTATGATATATCTGTTGATACATATGCTGTTTTTTATTCATTTAACCTATTATAGTATTTATTATCACTGTTTTATATAGTATATAATTTACTGCACATGGACTAAAGACACAATTTGTTCACTCTGAACATTTATGTATTTTACATGTTTGTTTGCTATTATAAACAATTATGCAATGGATGTTTCTGTAGTTTCTGCACCTCTGATTGCTCTCTAGAATCGCACTTGGAGGGAAACAAAGACTATACTTAAGGAGATTTGCATAGACATTCATCCCCTTTAAGGTAAACCTCCAGTGATGTAAGGGCCTCTCACCAGCCCCTCCCCCCCAAATGTTCTGCCACCCCCCCCCAGGTAATGAACATTTACTGACCCATGGTCCTTCCAGGCCATCGGAATTCCTAACTATAACAAGCATCTTAGACTTGAGCTGCTGCATGAAGTTAGCACTTTGCAAATATTTCGGATTGATTTACAAACTGTTATTTCAACTTGATGGATATTGGTGTTTAGAACTGTCATGATGGCAGAAATATTTAGTTTACTAGTGTGTACACTATGGCTCAATGTTGTTGCATAAAATTTTTGTTACAGAGGTATGTGTGTGTGTATGCGTGCATGTAGGTTATATAAGACTTCTGTAGGACACTATAAAATTTTAAATTGAAATATGCTTCAGAGTTAACAATTTTATATATTTAAGGCATATAATTTGATGATTTAAGATATATATATATATAATGAAGTCATCACTGACAGCCAACAAATATATTGCTTCACAGCTACAATTTGTTTTAGTCTAGAAAAACATGATTTACCTTCTTCGAAAATTTCAAATACAGCCGGCTGTGGTGGCGCACGCTGGTAGTCAACGAGGAGAATGAGGCAAGAGGATCATGAGTTCGAGACCAGCCTGGGCTACACTTTTGGCTCTGGGAAGGTGGCTCAGTGGTACAGTGCTTGCCTTGCATGCCTGAGTCCCTGGGTTCGATTCCTCAGCACCACATAAGCAAAAAGAAAAAAAGCTGGAAGTGGTGCTGTGGCTCATGTGGTAGAGCGCTAGCCTTGAGCTGAAGAGCTGAGGGACAGCGCCCAGGCCCAGAGTTCAGGCCCCACGACCGGACCAAAAAAAAAAAAGAAAAGAAAATTTCAAATACACAACAAAATAGTATCAGTTATAATCAACGTCTGGTACATTAGACATCCAGAACTTGACTCATTTAAAATAAATTTCTTACTTCTTTAAAAAGATTTTTAAAAGCCATCCATATGAGCTGTCTTCAGAAAACCTGTTCAAAACGTACACGCTGCTCCTAGTTTCTGTCTAAAGCTGATCGCAAAGGTGCGCAGGACAGGCTCTAACTGTGTCCTATCCCAGCCCCATCCATTCCAGACACACATGCTCCTGGTCTCTGTGGTGTTTGCTGTTGGTTTCCCCTTGTCTTCAAACACTATCCAGAGATCGCAGAGCACCTTTCCAAGAAAAAGGCTGTTTTACCCCAACTGTTCCACAATGGTGTACTCTGTCTGTTGGGCCTAACATCTTTACTGGTTTGATACAGCCATGATACACTTTCCTGTACTGTATAAGGATTCGAATATCTGTCCTACCTTATGAAACTGTGGTGCTTCTAAAGGTAGATCTTCATACCCTATACATTTATGTTTATTCATGTGTGTTTTCTGTTCACTATTGCTCTTACAAGGACTTTGTTGTATTTTAATGACATGGATTCACTTTAAACATTTGAAAAAGTCAGCTGAAAAATTACATGAAATGCTCCAACCTAAAGATGATCAACTAATATATAAACTAATGTCTCACTCTACTATATACATACAAGAAGTCAACATATATACAGGTGTACATACACACACACACACACACACACACACACACACACACACAATGCTGTGTGAATAAATCTATTCTGTAACCTGACCAATTTCTCCTTTAAATGATGTCAAGGACACCTGCTATGCCTGTACATATTTTATAATGGCTTCTTATAATTCTAATATACTGGATCAACTTGGGTTTGTCTTAGTTGCCATTATCAACCCTAAAAGCAGTCATGGTGGACTGATTTCTTACTCCTTACATGCCTCCAGTATAAATTTTAAGGTACTATTCCTGTCTTCACCTTTGTTGATTAGCCTCAGAGCTCACTGGTCTTATAACTTCAGGGCCGTCTTCCCTTTGTCATTGGGCTGTGGACTCTTGAACTTCATGAACTTCGTGTGTGTGTGTACGTGTGTGTGCATGTGTGTGTGCTCTACCACTTGCACTTTATATATATATATATATATATATATGACTCTCTTACCTAGCAATGTGACAGGTATATCTTTCTCTATTCTGTGAAGTGAATATCAAGAACTAATTGGTTATGTTACTTTGGTGATAAAATATCTTTGTGTAAACTTGAAAAAGATGAAATCCTTATCCCTAATAAAGTCCTGTGTTGGAGTGTGAGATCTGAACCAAGAATAAGTAATAAATGTTACTCAGTGAGATTACCCAGTGAGATTCCACGGTGAGACAGAGTCATGGAGATGTTGTCCATGGGAGGAGAATCCCCCCTCGCCCTCTGTTGAGTCTACTCAGGGCCCTCACAACTTCTCCATACCTCAGTAGTCTGCTCATCTGCATACCATGCAGCGGTAACACAGTACCATTAAAATACTCTGTATGGTTGGATGCTGGAAGCTCATGCCTGTAATCCTTGTTACTCATGAGGCTAAGATCTGAGGACCGAGGCTCAAAGTCAGCCTGAGACTCTGATCTCTAATTAACCACCAGAGAGCTAGACGTGGCACTGTGGCTCAAAGTGGTGGAGCACTAGCCTTGAACATAAGAGCTAAGGGACACTGCCCAGGCCCTGAGTTCGAGCTCCACAACAAATAACAACAACAACAACAACAAATACTTTTTGTTTCCAATTTTTGTCAGTTAGCTTAAATCCCCTCCTACATCTCAGGGACACTGTGTGGCTTTAGTGACTATGAAGCCAGTTTTTACCCTGCTTTAGTTATCAGCATGAAGAGGTCTGTGTGATCATGGACATTTCCAATGCTTCCTATTTTAATCTCTCATGTCATTGGTGACCTCCTGTGTCATTCTTTCCCTGCCAACAGCTGCGCTTCTTCATAGCAGTGGTCCTTGTCCAGGATAGGCTTTTTTCCACAATGGGCCCTTCTGGGAATGTCCAGTTGCATGTTTTTAATTGTCACAAAGGCAAAGCTACTCTGGCATGGGAAAAACAGGTTCCGGAGATGCTGGCTGCCAGACAGTGTCTAACGCTCAAGACCCTCCCCCAATAAAGTCTTAAGTGATTCACCTGAGATCTGATCAGTGTCTTGATTCACACGATCCAGTGAAGGCTGAGGAAACTTGCTGTGAGAAAGCTGTCCTTGGGTTTGGACACAAAACATCCCAAGCGCTCTGGCCGCTGACATGCTTGGTATGTCTTCTTGATATTCACCAGATGACTAGTGGTAAAAGCGGAAGGTCATATCTCATGGCACCTCAGTCTTAATTTGTAGGTAAAATGAGCCAGTGGCCATCATCTTCATCAAAAGTGTTTTCCTTCTTTGTAAAACGATCCGTGGACCTGAGCACAGTAAGGCAGGACAGGAAATGAAGAAAACAGAAGCCGGTTTCCAAGCAGAGAACAGAAGTGGGGGGTGGGGGGTTGGGAAGTGCGACTGTGCTCAGATCCCATCGGCTCCAAAGGATGCGTGCTGCTTTGAAAGTTACATTTACAAATATAGTGAAGAAAACTCCGCGCGGGAACGTGAGGCTACAACTGTTTCACGTTTTGTTTTTTCTCCCTTTTTTGTTTTGTCTCTCAGACATTTCACGCTTTCAAGAACACAATGATTTAAAAGGATTGCTAGAAAACCTACATCAAAACATCCAAGCCAAAAAAAGAAAGAACGTAGAAATCATGTGGCTGGCGGCAACGGTAAGCACTCGTCAGCCCGCGGGTCCCCGCAGACCCAGTCGGGCACGTTGGGGTTCCGCATGTCAGCCTCCATCACCTGGGAAGTGAGGTGTTTTCACCCCTGTTGCTATAACCCTACAGGATCTTCGCAGCTTTGCGGGACACTTACTGTGTCCTTTACACATGCCTTCAAGAAAACTCCATGGGTAGCTCGGTAGGTCACGTTCTCTCTCCTGCTGTCGATCAGAAGCACCTTGCTCATGAGCTGTTCTGACTAAGCCTGCTGTGTGTTGTCATTCTGAAGTTCAGATGAAGTAGCCCTGATTTTCTTGGTGTTTCAGGCCATAGACAATGGCTGGGGGTCTGTATCAGCCAGGATTTCCATCAGAAGCTCTAGAGACCCATATATCCAGTGAGAATGTGGCTCTCCGATCTCCGACTCACAGCCTTAGCGAGGCTCTCGGATGTATGGTTCAGTTAATGAGCCTGTAAATGTGCTTTCTCATCTAGATCTTGGCAGAGAATGCATCACTGATGGATTGCGGTGGGGCACTGAGCTGTCGTTGGTGTGATTCCTTCTCACTTAACGGCACCCTTCGGGTGGAAGGTCTGCCTCGTTTCCTGTTCCAGATTTCCACCGCGGTTACAGGCAGGCATGCTGCTGTATTTTAAGCTCTTCTCAGGCAGAGCTCATGGAAAGTTTACAAGCTTTCTTAAAATGTTCCATAGGAAGCATCCTTTCCATGGGAAAGGCCGTGTTGAATGCCCTGTTCTTGGTTTCTTTGCGGCTGGCTACTCTTACAATTTGGAGTGTAGGGTAACCAAGGTTCTAGAGTATTCTCTCTTCCCTCTCAATATCATTTATTTATTTTTATTTTTGGTCCGGTTGTGGGGCCTGAACTCTGGGCCTGGGCGCTGTCCCTCAGCTCTTCAACTCAAGGCTAGTGCTCTACCACTTGAACCACAGCGCCACTTCCATTTTTTTTTCTTTTTTGCTTAGGTGGTACTGAGGAATTGAACCCAGGGCCTCATGCATGCAAGGCAAGCGCTCTACCACTGAGCCACCTTCCCAGCCCTCAATATCATTTAATACAAACTCTTTACTTCCCATAATTCCATTGAAACCCAATATTGCTTATTATTATGTTTTTGGTGGAGGAGAAAAGAATAATTTGCCACAAGCCTATATGAGGTAATTTACCAAGGACAAGGGGGAGGAGAACTAGCTTTCCCTAATGCTTTCCAGGACTCCCAGGGAGGAACATCAAAGCTAACCTTACCAGGGAGCATTGCTCAGGCCGCTCATTTATACTGTTGATTATGTATTTACTTCTGGTGGTACTGGAATTTGAACTCAGGGCCTCACAATTGCTAGGCAGGCTTTCTACCACTGCACCAGGTTTTTAGTGCTCCATTTTCAGTACCATACTGAATTTCAGGAAGACTGTCTACAGTATTTCTTCCCCGGGGTGGCTGTTTACTTGTTTCTTTTCAAAGACTTCTGTGATGGTTCATTCTCACCCAATTTCATAATGGTAGGTTAGAAGTTAATTTTTCTATTGTACTCAAAACACAATGACATTCTGGTAATTTGAATACTTGCCGGAGTAATCTGACACTTTGGGAACATATGAATAAGCCATTATATAAATATTGTGAAATTCTATAAAGAGGTGAATTAAAGCATACACAAATGTATGCAAAAATGCTTTTCGCTTAGTATATTCAACTTTCCTGTCATTTCTAAAATGCCCCTCTGAAATGTGTACACTTCAGATATTGCTTCTGAACAATTTACAGTTGAATGGATGCTCTGCAGCATTTCTATAGGCTGATATGTGTTTCCGTAGCCTATTTGTAAATGGAGAAACTTGAAATGAGGAACTATGGGAATGCCCTTTGTATTTTCCAAGAAGTCTTTATTGCTGTATCTCTTTATTCTCTTGAAACCTGATGAAATACTGCCTGTGCTAATGTTTTACACTCTTAATTGAAAAATACAAAGCTGTTTGCCTTAAACTTGATTTAATTTAAATGATTAAAAACAAGAAACGGAAGGTTCCAAATGCTAAGTCAAACTGGGCTAAGCCAAATTTGGAAATTCCCCACCTCTGCCTGATTTTAAATATAGAACATTAAATATCCTAAGTGATATATGTCTATATCTATATGAAGAATATTGATTCCTTTAATAATCATATTTCAGTAGTAGCTATTATGGCCTATTTTATTACTATGACTGTAGTCAGCTTTAAACATGTGAAATATTGTTGATTTGAAGGAATTTGAATTTTCTAAGCACAAGAAAATCATATGGTGATGTCATGCCCTCGTATTTCTCTAGTTGCTTTTATTGAAATAGAAGGTAATAAAGATCTAAATGAATGTGGACATATAAATATTTAATTATCAGACTCACAATTAAAGTACATTAAAAATCCTTGATAAAAACTGCCAGATTTTCTTTTTACAATACAGACATATCTCAAGGCATCCTTCATGGAGATTAATAAAGTGTAGATCATATCACCTTAAATTTATCTTAGATACCCTTTGATTAACAGTGTTGATGTTCACAATGTTAGCAACTAGCTTACTGGCGTCTCATAAGCCTGTCCTGGGACAGAACACAAAGCATGGAGTTAAAGCACTGAGAGGAGAAAATATTGCTGTTCAGAGACTCTGCTCTGACTTAGAATAATGAAAGAAATAATTATAAAAGAAAACAAGATGTCACAGTCTTTAAAGTCTTGTTCTTTAGACTTAGGAAAAACTATATTCGAATGCTGGTTTCTGCCTCTGTTGAGTACAATTTACTTAACCTAATCAAAAGGAGATCTGTTTCCTCCTCTATACAAAGAAAGTAAGTATGTTTCCTCTAGAGTTCGTGTGAAGATAATTAACAGAGCAAAAGAATGCAAAGCATTCCTAGTCTGTACCTGGGACGCAGTGGTAGCTGTACAACAAACGGTGGCCATTTTTAGTGTTCTCAACATGGCTGGATGGTTTTCTTTACATTGTATTGTATCACTGCCTTAAAGCCTCTTCACACAAGACCAAAACTAGCAAAGGTTTCTTAAATATAAAATAAGATGATTTAGCTAGTTAAGATTCAAACCAAGTATTGGAGGCAGGAAATAGAGACTTTCTCTGTTTCCAGTGGGATTGCTGCTCCTGAGCTGTGATTTTTCATTATTATGTACAGACAAAGGCGTCTGCTTGGGTACCGTTGCCTCCACTGGCTGAGCCACAGCACTGGGTGATTCTGCCTGTGTCCTCTAGCTGTGAGATTTCCACACCTCATGTACCAAGGGCTAAAACAATTCCACCAACCCCACTGGCTTTTGTAATGAAAAGGCACTGCCCATCTGCATTTCACCGAGTAGATCAGACCCATTTACTTTCATCTGTGAGCCTGAACTCCAAGGGCTGGGGGAGGTCCCTTGACTAGGATTGTTCAGAAATGGCCAGGGCTACCTCAGGGCACAAACAAACAACATCCTGTCACCACGGTACACCGCTGAACAACAGCCTGTTACCGCTGTACACCAACGAACAGCAGCCAGTTTTCATTTGTGTCTTCCAGATCTGTCGCAGACTCAATGGAATCCGTTTCACGTGCTGTAAAAGTGCCAAAGACCGGACCTCCATGTCCGTGACCTTGGAGCAGTGCTCCATTTTGCGGGACGAGCACCATCTACACAAGGACTTCTTCATCCGCGCTCTGGACTGCATGAGAAGGTACCTCACGTGCCTTAAGGTCTTCTTTATCTGAAGGTTATCTTGAGCTTTGGGGTTTTTTTTGTACACATACATCTCACTAAAGAAGTAAGCAGTAGGAACGTCACTCTATGGGGTATAGCTCATGGCATGTGAGAGAAAGTAATTTTAAGGATTCTACCTACTCATCGAAGGCAGTGAAAAGCAGCGTGGTCACGCATGCATTGCCAGCACGCATGAGGGACGCAGTTCATTATTAGCTCAGGATTTGTGCAGCCGTTGAGAGCGCATTTTCTGGATAGTGCGAATGAGTATGTGAAAACGAAAACTCAGCCAGTGTCCAAAGAAGTCCCTTCCACGTTGCAGCTCACAGCTCATCTTTCCCTGGTCTTCCTGAGCCCAGCCTCGGTCATCTCGTTCCAGAAATTCTGTTCCCTTCACACGCTGTCAGGGTAGAGGGATGCCAGGATTTTAGGAAATGGATGTGGTGGTTCAGCCAGGCCCCAAGTCACGTATCTCAGTGCATTTCCACATCAGTGAAGTCTGAACACTGAGCCATCATGGAAAGGGAAAAAGTGCCCCCTTCACAAGGCCTATCCACGAGGCACAGGATAATCTCAAAGCCAGATGACGGTGTGTCCTCTAAAGAGGCACACGAGCAAGCGAGGGAGGGACAGGCCGGGCTCCGGAGGGGCTGCTTCCCATCTGGCACCCCACTTTCCCTTTCGTTTCTGCTCTCTTTCCCTGGAGATTCAGTATCTGCCCGCACCCCTGCGAGGCCTGTGTGTTTCCCCACTAACGAGAGGCCTCCGTGTTGTGTTGCGCCATTTCATATCACTGCCATTTTCATCATGTAGCCGAGTTCTATCATGGTTTTTGATAACCATGTGAGGATGTTTTCAAGGTCTGACATGAACATCTCAGCCATATAAAACACATTTGATTGGTATAAAAATGTCTTCTAAATCTAGTCTTCCAGTACTTAATGGGGAAGGGAGCAACAGGAGTCTGTTGGCCAGGCATACCACAGGGTCAAAACTGATTTAACAAATGATTGGAGATAAAACTGCTCCCTTCCTCTCTTCAAACAGGCCAACAAAAATCAGAGGTGTCAGATACAGAATGTACTACAAAATGCCATAGTTTGGTATGGCACAAGGTCATTCATCATTGGCATTATATATAACAAGATATATACTGAGGACATAACATTTATGGAAATTTGTTTTTGAATTATTGAAAGAAAGGTGCTAAAAATTTAACCTAAAAACACTAATACCCTTAACTTCCATTTCTCCACCACTGGGCTGATGCCTTTTCTTTCTTTTCCTTTTTTGCTAAATTTCAAATCTGTCAAATTTGTCCTTTAACCATGAAACCGTGAGTTTGTCTGTATGTGTCTGTATGCATGCATGCTTCCAGAAGACAGGGCACATTTTTCTTAATAGTTGAGTTTCCTCTTTGGGTGTTCTGTTTTATAACAGCAGCTCATGGTTTTCTAAGCTCTGGCAAGGCTAGGCCTTGATGAATGTTAAGCAAGGTGTTGGAGCCTGGGGGCTCAGTTTGAATCCCTGTACTTAGAACTTACTAGCCAGGAGCAAGTTATCTCTCAGTGCCTGAGGTAAGTCAGGTGACCTAGTGCCTCAGGGTTTTCCTCTATAAAGTCAGTCATGAAAATAGTAGTCTTGCGTGGTAGTGACCCAGGACAAAAATAAGTTGATATATAGATAGATAGATACATATATAGATCTATAAATATATTATATATAATACTAAGAATGATATTTGGATTTAAAAACAATAAGAATAGCAACAACTGTGTTTTAGACTTTTTTTTAGTATATTGAATTTAATGCAGTTGCATATTTTACTAAACATCAATTGTAGTTCATTTGATTTTTGAGTTGTTCCAACTACCCTGAAAGGATCATAGAACTATATTTTTAAAAGTTTACCAGGGTTGTCATGTCATTGTTGTTTTGGCGGGTAAATTTTATCCTTACCTATACTGATATTTCCTACCATGTCGTGTTCTTCTCTGTAGCAGTTTCCAAGTACATATGGTTGAGTAAGAGGCAGTAGATGAAAAGAAACAATTAAGGCTTCCTTTGGCTGATTATTTAAAAAAGGGAAAAAGACCTCTATTTTCAGATTAAGCACCATGGCTGGGTGCTGGTGGCTTACACCTATAATCCTAGATATTCAGGAGTCTGATCTGAGAATCCCAGTTCAAAGCTAGCATGGGCAGGACATTCTGGAGACTCTTGTCTCCAACCAAATTATTTAAAAAAAGCTAGAAGTGGCTCAAGTGGTAGAGTGTTAGCCTTGAGCAAAACCTCTCAAGGATAGCATCCATGCCCTGAATGCAAGCCCTAGGATTCTCGCAAAAACAAAAACAAAAGAAGACCAAATGTCAAGATGATCCAGAGATTCACTATTCCAGACACACTCCACCAGCAATGTCCCGCAGTATGATTCCTCTATAAATGTTCATCGAGGGAACAACTGAGGTTATGAAGGACACAGGTTTCTAAGAGCCTTGTCTCACGTGTTAGGCAGTTTTGGACATAGTGATGCATTTAGAATTAAGCATACCGAATTATCATTCAATTTTGAACTCTATTTATAAGCAAAAGTTCCAGAAATTAGAGGTTATCATTAGAATTCAAAACCAATCTGGCCACAAACAAGCAACCTTAACTTTCAGTCTGAATCCAGTATTCAAAATTTGGGGACAGATTTATTTTCTACATATCGATTACAGATGACCTCCAGGCCAGCTTTGTTTCACTTTCATATTTTTTGCTTGGCAGTGGTAAAGTTTATGTTCAGTAGAAATCACATTTTGGAATTTTACCTAGCCAGCCTGCTGTGATAGGACATTGGTCAGCAGAGTAGAGTGTTGTTTACTTTGCTGTTATCCATCTAATGAACCTATATTAATTGTACTATTGGTTTCATCCTAGTATTTCCAGCATGCATATGTTATATTTGAATCAGAATCACACATTCCATTGCTCTCCTGATATCCAAAGCCTCACCAAATGTAGCTCATTTTGGGTGTTTTCTTTTTGTTCTGTTTTAAAGAAGGATAGTGATGTCAGCACTCCAGGGCTGCCTCTGGGGCCTCTGACCCTGCCACACACAGCCTGGCTTCCAAGAACTACCCTTGGACACTCAGTGGATTCTTCCATGACATCACTACTCTTGCATTCTGCATGCCTGTAAAACCAGCATTGTGTGGACGATGCCAAAGTTTTCACCTGCACAGCCTGACATAAGTTTAGACCTTTGCACATTCCAATGCCAATGGATACCTTGGAGTCATCTTCCTGCCCTGGTGCAAAGCATGTGTTGTTTTTTTTTTAAGCCTCTAGTCTCTTAATAGTTGTGTCTTACCTTGGCAGTACCTCTGTGCTCCTTCTCTGGGGAAAACTTACGGTTTCCTAAAAATTTCCACTCAGCTCCTATTTTTATCTGTTTTCACTGTGAAATCTAGCTAACAACAGCCAGTCACACTTACAGCACTGCCTGAAATCTATGATGTATTCAAACTTTACCAGATGAAAAGGTCTGTCATCTTTAAGCTCAGATGCACACAAAGTCTCAGGGCATTGATAAAATATGTCTACGTCCCTTGCCATGATTTAGCATACATGTCCTTTTTCAACCAAGAATTCTCATCATCTCTAACTTCATTACCAGAACCTTTATTATCTCTACTAATATCATCCTTTTTTTCAAACTTACTTCTGGTCTTTATATTGGTCTTTTTCCAACCTGCGTTTTTCTAACCTGCTTCTCCAAACTTTTCCAACTCCTTCTCACACAGCAACGTCAAAACTTCTGAACCACATTGTTATAGTAATGGCAATCACTCTACTTAGTAACAATTCACGTTATAACTAACATAACCTTACTGTGAAAAAATTCCTGATATAATCAGCTAAGTAAAGGAAATTTTATTTTGGCTCATGGTTTTAAAACTTACAGTCCATTTTCATTTACTTTCATAGTTTGGACCTCTGGTGGCATAGAATGTCACGGTAGGAGAATGTGTTAGAGGAAGCCTCTTTGCAGTGGCTAGAATGTGAAGAGAAGGTAGGAGGTGCTGAGGTCTCAATATCCCTTGTGGAGGCAAACTCCTACTGACCTAACTTCCTTGCATGAAGTTCCACCTCCTAAAGGTTCTATCACCTCCTTGGAGCACCACTAACTGTGGCTACATCTCTAGCACATGGGGCTCAGCAGACACTAGTAACCCAAGGAAGAACACAGACTAAACAAGAGGGGAAAGAAGTAGTAGTAGTAGTAATAGTAATAACAGCTGTGGTTATTGTGAATTTTGAATAAAATTGTAAAGTAAGTTTTGTGGACCCTCACATGGATCTGAGATAATAAAGGTAATGTACATGGTAACCTTTAAAGTGGTTTGGATGACAAAAGGAATAACAGTAGCCTGGAGCAGGGGCATGGGGGAAGGTAGGATTTAAACTTGTTTTGATGAGAATTATGACATATATAGTAAGTGAGAGGAATTAGGAAGTTCTGGCTTAGGACTGTTTAAGTAGTGAAAGCTAAGACAAGTTCTTATGCATACGACATACTTTGTGAGTGTTCTTGTTCAATGCTATGTAACATAGAACACTTTTTTTTCCTTCAACTGATACGTTTTTGAGATATTTGCTCATACATAAAGCCCAAGCTTCTCTTTTCAGTTGACATAGAATATTCCCTCATGTGACTCAATCATAACTTATCTACTCCCATATTAAAATTTAAAGTTGTTTCTGATAGTCTGTTACTTTAAATATTCATATAGTAGACTCCTTCTCAAGAGTACAAGTATGATAGTGTCTCCTGCATATAAACACTGGCAGAAGGGTTAGCAAGGTATTTTTATATTCAGTTTTACTAGATGCTGCTAGATTGTTTTTTCAAAATAGCTAGACTGATTCCTAGTCAACTTCTATGTGCATGCATTTCCATTTCTCCACATTTTCCACTGCTTGTAGTATAAG